CGATTGTTACACAATATAACTTTTTGTACGTACGATTCCACTGGGAATCTAATGTTAGATTTACACGCTTAGCAAGTCTCGGCAAGCATCCACAAGCACAAGCGTGTGAAGGGGGTGTTTGGCTTGGCTTGCGTGAGCTTGGAGAAGCTTGTCGCCTTTCCGGTCGAGTGTTGGTTTTAGAACACACATCAAAGGGTGTTTGCAACGCATTCACACGTTGGTACGCGTTTATTATCGCTTGTGATCTTGCGGACGGACGTTTTGCTCTGTGCAAAATGAGTGGCTGGTGGAACGAGGAAACTATATCCTTTCTGGAATATATCAATGAAAAAGCCAGTAAAAGATTATAAAAAAGAAATATTAATGACTTTTATGATCCACCATCTTCTTCATTGGGTTTTTCTTGTTTTTGTTTTATTTTGCTTGTATGTATTTCAAACATATAAACCAAACGCAAACAAGTTCGGTGTCCGCCATGCTTGTCTGTCTGGAGAACACTGACATATTCACAAGCATGTAAATGACTTCCAAATGCGAGACTCATTTGTTTTAGTCTCCATTTTATTCATACAAGAAAACATTTCGGAGCAAAATTATATCATAATTTCTAAAGGCTTCGCTTATGAAATATCAACGTAGGTACTCATAAAAGTAATCTCTAAATAACCTTTTACAATTCTTACCATTAAATATTATAGAGCAATGCTACTCCATATTCTTTTACAGTTTTAATTATAGTGGGATTTAAATGATTCCTTCGTACTATTGACACTATCGGAATGTTTTAAAACTATTTTTAGATTAACAAGTAAAACATATACATAAGCAATACTGCGTTAAATAAATTCTTAGAAATGATTACTTGCATTGTAACAAATGGCGATAAAGTCAATTATATATATTTTTTATAGATTCAGTTGTGTATTACGTATTTCTGAGTTTAAGATCTTGTTTTACTGTAGACGTTGGAACTAACAATATGCTAATAATTAAGTAAGTAATTACCATAAAGTAAATAAAGCTCGTTGTTTATGTTGATAAAATCCATTTATTTCCTATAAGTATCGACTTTTGTCTATGGTTTTACTATTCACTGGTTATCAGTTCTAGTTATACCTATATGATAGATATTTCTTTACATATGGAGGAAGCGTTCACTATTATAACTAGCATTTAATTCAGCTTACTTTATTTTAGTTTACAAAATACTCCTTTCTGAAATTGTTTTTGGTGAAACACGAACTTGAGCAGTTATGTATTGTCATATATATATATTTCTGATTTTCGCTTTTTTTGTTGACATTTTGCCATCTATGAAAAAAATTAACAATGAATGAAATAAACCCTTGGTGTCAGACGAATAAAATATGGGTTATTTTTAAGAAAATTGCTTTGTCTAACCACAAATCGCACATTGAAAAGAGATAAAAGACAATATACACATCACTATACCGGGTGGCCAAATGAAAACGAAACAGAGCCATTTTCAGGAACTGCGTCAAGATTGTAGAAAAACGCTCACACCCATCGATTTTAGATTAAAGGGGGACATTCTTTGCTGCTATTTTTGACTCAGCCACGTTCACCCCCAAGCAAGGATAAGCATCACCCGAAAATATTTAAATGGTATTGGGGGTTGAGTAATATTTCTTTTGAAAGCTCTTACAATTTTCTTTACAACATACTTTATAATTTTATAATTCCGCCCAATACTTTGAAATAAATTTACATTTTAAAATTTAAATTATGTTTAGTTCCTTACTTACTACTTAGTTTATTAAATGTTCAAACTGATGACCGCCCGCTTCCATACAAGAATAAAGATTTTGTTCGAAAGGTTCGCGCACATTCCGAAGTATTTCTGGAGTGATTCGACAGCATTCGTCAACGATTCTTTGAAGCAAATCTTCCAGCGACGCTGGCTGTGTTTTATAGATTTTACTTTTTAGGTATCCCCACAAATAAAAATTAAGGGGCGATAAATCCGGTGATCGTGGAGGCCACTCAATGCTGCCTCTTCTCCCAATCTAATTCCGTAGAAAACGTTGCTCCAAATACTGACGGACAATTAACGCATAATGCGGAGGAGCACCGTCCTGTTGAAAAATCAAATGATCTTCATCATACTCTGGAACATTTTCAATAATATCAGTCAAGGCAGGGTCAATAGCGTCTTCCAGTAATTGCAAATACATTTGGCCAGTCAAATTACCAGGTAGAAAAAAAGGACCCACCAGCCGGTCACCGAAAATTCCAGCCCATACATTTAATTTTTCCGGTTGCTGTGTATGCACCTCGTGAAAAACTCTTGGGTTTGAATCGGACCAATAGCGGCAATTGTGACGATTTACCGTCCCGTTCAAGAAAAAACTGCATTCATCAGAAAAACAGATGTTAAAAAGGAACTGTGGATCGTTCCCTGCTCGCTCACTCATTATTTCGCAAAATTGCAAACGGCGGTCATAATCATCCTCATGAAGTTCCTGGACTAAATGTATTTTGTATGGATGGAATTTATTCTTCTTCAAAATGGTTTGTATGCTAGTTCGATTGATCCCAGACACAGATGCCAGCTGCCTCGTACTTAATGTAGGATCAAGATGAACTTGTCCCAAAACTGCAACTTCACTAGCTTCATTAACTATAGGTTTTTCAATTTCTCGTTTTTTATTGGCTACGTTCCCTGTCTCTTGAAATTTTTTTACTAACTCTAGAACATACTTCCTCCTGACATGTCGATCTTGATGTTGTTCATTAAATAGCTGAGCTGTTCTATTCGCACATTTATTGTTCATAAAGTAAAGCGAAATGATATCTACCCTTTCCGCAATGGAATAAACCATAGTGTTTAATTTTCAAAAACACAATTAAATAAACTACCAACCAACGCTTCCAAATAATACTAGAAAATAATTTGGAATCCACTAATTTTACGTTCATTGTGTGTGTATAGCATTCATTTCTGTTTTTTACAATTGTGTTTTTTTTACGAAAGTGATAACAAATCGCCAAAAACCAATGTAACGCAAGAAATACTAAATTTATACCATTGGCGTACTTAACTCGAATGACTGACATTTTTACCGTTACTAATTGTTTGTACATAAGTTTCAACTTTAAAATCAAAATTCTTAATAAGTATTGGGCGGAATTATAAAATTTAAAGTCTGTTGTAAAGAGAATTGTAAGAGCTTTCAAAAGAAATATTACTCAACCCCCAATGCCATTTAAATATTTTGGGGTGATGCTTACCCTTGCTTGGGGGTGAAAGTGGCGGAGTCAAAAATACCAGCAAAGAATGTCCCCCTTTAATCTAAAATCGACGGGTCTGAGCGTTTTTCTACAATCTTGACGCAGTTCCTGAAAATGGCTCTGTTTCGTTTTCATTTGGCCACCCTGTATATCGTGCACTTCAATAACTTGTTGACGTTTCGAAAATCAATCTGTTTTTTTGTCTTCTGAACTTATAATTACTATTTGTTTTAGAAATTGGCAGAACTATCCTAATCTTCGATGTCCCAAAATTTGCTACAACTTTACATTTTGTTTTTCCTTGGATGTGGTCCTATAAGTGCAATTATGTACACCTGAAATCTTTCAAGACAATTGTAAATGAGTAGAGGGAATCGATTCAGTTATAAATGTATACCTTAAGACTACAGTACATCATTGCAATGATATTTAGTTATTCTGTTCACTTTTGTATAGCTCTCTTTTATCTTCGAATGATATGTGTAGAAAATTTACTTTTCTCTTTTTTCCTTCTGTACGTATTTTTCTTTTTAACATCCAATGGTAATTGCCATTATATGTACTTTCATTTTATCTATTTTGCTATCGATACTTTATTTCTTTTACATCCTGTTGAAACTTTTCACCTTTCAAGGTATCAGGAAGAAGTAATTTACACCAAACATTCTAATTTCTTGAAATTGTCAATCCATTTATTTACCTATTGTCTTTTTAATATTAATTTCTATATGATTTTTTAAGAAATGTTCAGAATCATTTTTAAAATTTCACCGTATTTGGTTCTCAATTGTTATTAGAAAACCTTCATGCATCACACATTATTTCCCCATCGAAAACTTTTTATAAATGTTTGGAACATGAGTTTCCTTCTCCAAGGCTTTATCAAACTATTTCATAGACCATTTTCTTAGTTTGTATGAAGTCTGGTGCAATTAGCTCCATACCCTAAGCAGCTCTGAAAGTCCTCCTGGACTTACTATCTCCTCATGTATTATTAGAAATATAAGCAGCTATTAATATGTCGAAGGTTGACCCCAAAGGAAACAAAAGACTGCATGATATGGAAAAACTAGCATGAATGTCGTGCCTAAACTGCCTTTCAACATTCTTCTGCTGTTATTTTTCAGGAACAAATCCATGCTACTGAGTTGTGTGCATTGAGGATGAAACATTCGCAACATTCTATTCTTGCGAACTCTGGTAGTTCTATACATTATGCACTGCTGATTAAGATATCCCTACAGATGCTGGAGAAGGTGAGTAAATGGCAGAACATATGTATCTGGGAAAAGGGACCTATATTCGGCAAAATACACCTTTTGCCAGAGGATCTGGCAAAAACCTTAACCCAACAAGGTTGTTGGTTGTATTAGGAAGCTAAATCTGTTATAACTAAATATAACTCCTAATTTCTGGGGATCTAAAAAAGTACTTCAGTTATTTCTCTTTTCAAATTTTTGTTGTACTATATAAGCAAATCTTCTAGAAATTCATGACTAACATCCACCATACATATGCTTATGAGATTTCCTTATATATATTTCCTTCCAACTGATTCATTAAAAACATCGGTGAAATTATAAAGTAGAGTTTCGAGTAATTGTGATGATTTTTAATCCTGTTTTTTCAATTACTCAGCGTCAATAAGACCGATTTAAGTCAAACCGTAGGTCAAAAGCCGCTCATGCGCGCAGAGGAGCAGAACGCGTGGGTCCGCTGGAGAAGGCCTCGTAGTGCCGCGATAACCGCGGGTTTCGAATGTCATCAGTCAGCGTCCGACAGCGCCGGTTAATCGTACGGTCACAGACCGCTCTCGCTGCGTTTCTCACGTGTTGAGTTCGACGCCTAATAGTTCCTCTAATTATTACTTTCTTTCCGCTTTTTCGCCATGGCAGACTACAGCATCAGGAGTCGTCAAGAGAGCACCGACAGCTTGGACTCTTCTTCAGCTGTCACCACTGACGAGTATTCGGACGAGGAGAAGGATGGTTATGATATTGAAGACTTTAATATCATCAAAACAATAGGTATGTCCCTAAACTAAGCCTGTAAGTTTCCACAACAAAGGAAACATGCATTATTTACTATAGATTCTACGTTCTGTGTATTTATTTGCTATGACATTTAATAATAATAATTACAAAATATTTCTTGGTGATAAAATGCTATAATTACTGAAGCAGAACCTTTCTTCTCGACTGGAATAATTTGAAGTATTATTTCTTTTTCTGTTGGTTCATTTTTAATAAGATAAAATCAGTATTTTTTATTTTTAGTTACTTTTGTAAATACAAATACAGGGTGTTACAAATATTTTCCCATCGAGCTTGTTTTTGAAATATCAGATGTTAGTATTATAAAAAAATATATAAAAAATATTCATAATTATATCTTCCTCTAAACATCACCTTTTGTAAAATCACTTCATTTAAATGTATTAATCTTTAAAATTTCTATTTTTTTACTAAAACACTGCAAAAAATTTCATTGTTCAAAATGAAATTTAAATTTCAAAAATTCCCAGTGGTGTGCCACAATTTGTCGGTTACTAATTGTAGTTGAAACTCATTTCCATATAGTTGATTTTTCAGAATATATTTAAACATTCCTTATTTAACTAAAATGTATCTTGAAAAGAGCTCTAAACGCAAATATTTGTAATATTCATAAATTTTGGCGTGTTATTGCGTTACAACCTATGCCTCAAATACATATTTAACATTTTAGTTCAAAACAACTTTATTATACATTTTACTAACTGACCAAGATATAAAATATTTTTTATTATTTTTAGAATCAATTTGAACCAAAATATGCAAATTAATTTTTTGACTTTTGATTAAGTTTGAAGTAGGTAAATTAAATACCTTTTTCTTTTGTTTCCAGTACAAAAATGTTCATATTTCCAACTAGTTTATTCTTCCTAAAGTTATCTTCAGGAAATTGGTCAAAACTAATTATGAAAACATTAAGCTTATTTAGTTTTAAATAAATAAATAAATAAATAAATAAATAAATAAATAAATAAATAAATAAATAAATGTTTTCTGTATGTGTATACTGTACTTCAAATAATAAAAAAACTACTTACATCTCACTTACATTCAGAACATGTTAGTAGATAGACAGACAAATAACTAGCGAACTCGTCTCGTCTATGGCATACTGATGAGAACTAGTAATTTCGAAACTGTTTACTAGATATTAGGGGTGTAATTCAATGCTGGACGGGGCTTTAGTCCATAGAGTAGTTGTTACCCACAATATCATTAGTAAACAATTTTGTTAGCCTGTCTTATTTATGTAACTTTCATGTTTGTCTAATAATGACCATAGGCCAGGAAAATAAGCTGGGAAATGACCATTTTGGGACTTTTTTTTCGGCAAGCTGAATTTATCACTATATATGTTAAATATTATGTACAATAACATATTAGTTTCCAATCATAAAAATGGGTGGAAGATTGTTTACAGGGTGGTTAATTGTATAATTTTTACGTAAATTCACGTTTTTCGCTTATAACTTTTTTCCGTTCATTTCCACGAAAAAACAGTAAAGAACCTTTTTTTCGTCTTCAAAAGACCTACAAAACTAGCCCTAGAGCGTCAAAAAATATTGATTAGATCAAAAGTTATAAACAGATAAAGTTTATTTATGACTTTTGAAATAAACATTTATAATCTGCGTTATTATTACCAGAACGTTTTGGCATCACATCCTCTCATTTCTTATCACTGTCTAATAACTCACACGAAATCTGGAATCGATTAAGTTGAACAGTTTACAAGTTATGGCCTTATAAACAAATTAACTAATTATTAGTCTGGACGATCCCGAGGATCTTCCACGATAGCACTGATTTTTTCAAGGTAGATATGACAATAGTATGTTGAAATCTATTATTTTTTTTTTAATTTCAAATTTGTAACCTGAAAATTTTTTTTATTTTTTAGCCTTAATTGCAAAATGAAATATACGACGCACGAGCGTGATATAGTTATATATTATTACATATTCGGAAAGCTTATGAAAAGAGCTTTAAGTTAAAAAAAAATCGTCAAGAATCGTTGAAAAACAACGGAGTTACAGACTGTCAAAATTGACGGTCGATTGTTAAATAAATTAGGTTGGTAGCGGCAAAAAAAAATAGTCATAACCGGCAACCTGAGTACTTTCCCAGGTCAAAATATTTTATTTGTAGAAGTATGTTAAGTGCATAAGAAATATTGTCGAAAGTCAGTGGGTCGCTTGATTTTCGGCGAGCCGCGGCGCGGCGGAAGGATGGAGGAAGCGAACGTCAGCGAGTCCGAAGAAAATGACGATAATATTCATAGTCCTACCGTTAAATACGGGAAATTCGTTTAAAAATAATATATTTGACAGTCTGTAACTCCGTTGTTTTTCAACGAAACTTGACGATTTTTTTTTAACTTAAAGCTCTTTTCATGAGTATTCCGAATATGTAATAATATATTACTATATCACGCTCATGCGTCGTATACTCCATTTTGCAACTAAGGCTAAAAAATAAAAACAAATTCCAGGTTGCAAATTTGAAATTAAAAAAATATATAGATTTCAAGTATTATTATGAAATCTACCACGAAAAAAATCAGTGCGATTGTGGAAGATGCTCGGGATCGTCCAGACTAATAATTAGTTAATTTGTTTATAAGGTCATAACTTGTAAACTATTCAACTTACCGATTCCAGATTTTGTGTGAGTTATTAGACAGTGATCAGGAATGAGAGGATGCGATGCCAAAACGTTCTGGTAATAATAACGCAGTTTATAAATGTTTAATTCAAAAGTCATAAATAAACTTCCTCTGTTTATAACTTTTGATCTAATCAATATTTTTTGACGCTCGGGCTAGTTTTGAAGGTCTTTTAAAGATGAAAAAAGGTACTTTACTATTTTCTCGTGGAAATGAACGGAAAAAAGTTATAAGCGAAAAACGTGAATTTACATAAAAAAAATATACAATTAACCACCCTGTAAACAATCTTCCCCCCAATTTTATGACTGTGGAAACTAATATGTTATTGTACATAATATTTAGCATCTATAGTGATAAATTCAGCTTGCTGAAATAAAAAGTCGCGTCCAACTCTATATTTCCTGGATTAACTAGTAGAGTTTTGTGTTGGAACCAAAAAACAAAACTTTATGATATATGTCATTTAAATTATCTATCTGTCATTTGAATTATTTCCAATTCAAATATGTAAAGATTTATATATCATAATGTACATTTTGTGCACTATATCGAATTGATGTGATGGACATAAATAAAATATTTCATAAATATAAGTAGTTATTCTTGAATATTGTTATGCATATTTAATATACGTATTAATTTTCCAAATGTATAAATAGTTCAAGAAGTTTGAATTATATATCAAAGTGTCTAAAGTCAACCAGAGAAAATGAATGACTAACAATTGTCTCATAAACATTTCTACATCCAATTTATAGTTCGATTCAAAGCTCTATCATTGCTTTAAATTATTTTGATTTACTGCGAACAAAGTTCTAAATGGCTATTTTTGTCTGTGAATTTAAAGTTTAGTGTTGCTGGTAATTTTTTCAGTTATTTGCAAAAACAATGTTGTAATTTGACAGTTTACACAAATTCTTAAGGAATATGATCTACTCACATTGCTTAAGTTCGACAAGTACAGAGCCTTCATAAATGTTAACAAGCCATGTGACCACTAAGCAACCAATACTGCAGAGTTGGTACTTACTGGTAACGAAAATTCCCTAAACGTTGCTGTCACCAATGCCAACAATGACAAAGCGTTACGTCTACGCCCGAGATGATGTAATCGCTGATTGGTTGAATGAAATGTCCCAAAAAATTACACCAATCACAGCCGGTGAAACAGAATGTTGTGTTTTAATGTAGTCTTGCATTTACTGTTTAATAATTTTTACTGTTACCAAAATTAATTGCCAACACCAAGGAAATAAAATCACTGTTCCAAACAAAATTACAAAATCGTTTATGAAGGCTATGGCAGTAAGCAGTAGGTCAAATATAAATTATATTGACCTTACTTGACTTTTTTATATCTAAATCATCGAGTTAATTTCTTAAATAATTTATTTTCTAACTTTAATATTCTAATTATTATAATTGTTTATAATTGGAATATTTGCAGTTTGTTTTATATTTTTAATCATTAGCTTAAAATTATTGGTAGGTATTATGTACGATTTTCCTATTCGTCACGTTTTTTACCATATACTATTATCTGTTTTCTTTTTATTTATTACAATACCCAGGTATGTGTGTAAAAATGTAAAATAAAAATAAATAACATAAAAATAAACTACTAGCGAGGTCTCTGCCTGTCATAATTTATTTACTTATAAATAGGTTGAGATATTTTTACATTTTCACTGAATGTAAAAAGTCTGTAATCAAATGTTAACGACTATTTACTTGTATTAAATTTTCATACATTTTTTTTATTCCATCTGTTGTAGCGGCTTATGTTAGACAATGGAAAACGTCTGCCAAAATCAAGCTCTATTCAATTGGCATCACAAATGTATAAAGAATTAGGTACCTATCTACATATGTTTATATGCCTACATTTTTGGCAAGATAGCAGTATTTGCAAATTTTATTGAATTATGTTTATTGGATCACGTAACGAAAGCATAACATGTTACGGATGTATTATTTTAGACTTGTATTTATTGTTGTCTGCTTGTTTATAGTTACTTGAACGTCAAAGCTTTCCACACATGTCAAATATACTTTCTTTTCCTTAATAATTTGTATGGCGATAATCTTACCAACTTCTAATTTTATTACAGACAAAAATACTCCTAAACATAAGTATTCATAATTTATATGTATATACAAAATATTCTCTTGTCTTTGAGATATACATATATAGGGTTGTCCGTAATTGTATACTCCCTTTTCCTTATTTATTATTAAATTATTTCCTTTATTATTAAATTACTCATCCTTTTTTAATTGGGTTTGGATTAGAAACTTTTGATTC